TCGTGATGCAAAAGGCATGAATTGTTTTTCCACAATTCTGGGCGTTTTCTTCGTATTGCTTCTCGCAAACGGCGCATAACTTCAAGATAATACTGTTTATTGACCTTACGTCCATATGGTAAGAACTTCTGATACACCACGCCATGGTAATCGAAGAAAACAGTGAGGAAAACTTTGACATTTAATCGAACTTGGCGTGCTTTTTTCGGTTTTGGCTCATCTGGGCTCTTCCATTGGAACGATTGGACTTTGGTTTCGATATCATAACCATATACTCATGATTCGTCACCAATTATGATCCTTTTGAGTAAATCTGGGTCGTCGTTGACGTCATTCAACAGTTCTTGAGCGATGCTCATGCGGTCTCTTCTTTTGGTCAAAATTTAGCAATTTCGGAACAAACTTCGCTGACACACGTCTCATGCCCAAAACGTTAGAAAAAATTTCATGGCACGAGCCAAGCGATATACCAACATCCTCAGCAACTTCTCTAATAGTGATTCGATGATTTTCCAGAACAATTTTCTTCACTGCTTGAACGTTTTCATCAGTTGTTGACGTGCTTGGGCGTCCAAAGCGAGGCTCGTCATTGGCATCTTCCCGGCCATCTTGGAAGAGTTTGTACCACTTGTAAACATTTTTTTTACTCAGAACAGTTTCACTGTAAGCCACCGTCAATATTTCAAGTGTTTCGGAGCACTTTATTTTATTTTTTACACAAAATTTGATCCATATTTTTCGATAGCAAGAAATCGCCGAGAACGCAAAACACTTCTAACTTTTACGCCTCTCACAACCAAACAAAAAATGCTATACATTTGAAACTTCGTACAGATGTTCGGGAAGAGTGTACCAATATAACAAAATAAAAAAATCGATAATCGAAAGTACGTTGCCCATGAAATTTGAAAAGTCACCTTACTTTTTGAACACACCTCGTATATTATATTCATAGATAGCCTACTTAATAATTTGAATAAGAATTTTTATCGTTATAAGTATTTAACATTGTAAATGACCAGATATATTATTTTGTATTAACTACATCATTATTAATTCATAATAAAGATTTATTTTAAGCGGTTAATTTTTACTTTTTTCTATTATTTAACGATCATTTACTATTACTAATAATTAAAAATAACTAGACTACTAAATATCTAGATTTTCTAATATCATAATATTTTGATACATGGTGTAATTTTCATTATACTGTAACGGCGGCTCAAAAAAAAAGACAAAAAAATACCGGCCACACACTTAGTTCGTAAATTAAGATGAAAAACTGTGTACAGCTGAATAAAGAAAATTTTTTCTGTGAACGGCAGTTTTCGGCTCGCGCTTCTGGCAATCTTCGGATGTTGAAAACAATCAGAGCAATTTTACGATCGGGCCATCCGGAGTAGCCAGATTGCGAGCATCTTTAGAAAGTAGAGAACTGTAGCGCACATGTGCATCCTACCGATAGTACTGTTATTTTATTTTAAATAATTTCAATATTACTAATTTCTTTTAAATTAAGGGAAGCGCATTTGCTTGCAGATCTCTTAAAAAAATACGAAATTTATTTATTGTAAGTAACATTCGAGTAATCAACAAGGACTATTTTAATTAATGGTTTTTGTTTGTTGCTCGGATATGTTTTAATTTTATATCTAAATATAAATATGGGAATAATTCATTATCTTTCTGTATTTATTAAGATTTTTTTTATTGCGAATTTTGTATGTTTAATCGTTGAATGCGCTCAACTTTGCGTTAGAAAATTTAAGAACGGCTTGAACGAAAGTTAATGACTACATTTATTATAATTAACTCTGATTTTTCAGTATTTCTTAAGGCTTTTTGATAATTAATTAATAGTTAAGACTATTAATATTTTGTTTGTTTTCAGATAAATATAATCCTTAACTTTTGTTCTTTACTTTAGTTTTATTATAGATTAAGTAATATTTATGTAAAAGTAGAGTACCATACACATAATTGAATTTAAATAGAATTAGTTTAAATAATTAAAGGTCAAAATAGTACATAGAGGGCCATTTATGTGAAGAAGGCCCAAAGCACTTAAATGAGGCCACTTCCGCACACTCCACCCCCGGCCAATTAGGGTTTGAATTTCGCTTACGCTTGAGACACTCCCCAAATTTTCCAACCAATTAAGTTAAGAAAATTTGAGTTCTTCCTGCCTAAAAATGACAAAGATTTTCGAGTGGGAGTCTCTTGCGAAAAGCATAAAAGGAAGCTATTCAAGAAAATTAGGCAGTTATTTTCAAAATTCAGTTCGTGGAACCATTCCAAATTAGTTTGCTGTTTTTTATGTTCGTCCAGTTCGAAAGTTCTAGTTATTCTTTCCAGTGTATGTGTGGCAAATTAAGACAAAAGTAAGTAAAGAAAATCAAAATAAATTTTTTTTACTCTAACTTCTTTTTACATCCTTTTCTCTCCTTATTCTTTCCTATTTTAGTTTCGCGGACGGTCTGTCTTTTAGATAGTTACACTCGATTGCCAAGCGTGTGGTCGAGTGCATATTAGATAGACCCCCCTTTACGTTATTTTATTGCCAAGAGTGTGGTAAAATAACGCGAAGCATTGCTATATTGCCAAGCGTGTGGTATGATATAGCTTCGATCCTCCGTCGCCGAGAAAAGAATTTCCCGCGATAGTGGTCACGCACGTCGCGGTTATTTTCCGTAAGGATAGACCAAAAAAGTGCGCCTGATAATTGTGTTTCGTCAACCGACGTTACAATACCATCCGTTATTCTGGGAAAATTAGTTGTGTACTGACTAACCAGGATATAACACAATGTTCTACTGTTTTTGTCAAAATAATCACAAGTATACTATTTTAACCCATTAACGTCCAAAATGTCAAAATTTCTTGCACGTTTTCAAAGTGATTTTTTCCTATGTAATTGGCATTGAAAAAATTCTTGAACCACATATTCTGATGTAAAATTGCATGCTCTTTCAGAATCCGTTGCCAGAATCATGATAAAACTCACAGGAAAAGAGATATGCTCGATTGAAACATAAAAAACACCTAAATTTTCGAAAAAAAAATTTTTAGGATTTTTTTTCGAAGTGTTACGGTGAAGATATCACCTTGCGACCGTGATCAAAGGTGATCATGGGATTTGAAGTTTAACAGGGAATTTTTTTGTTTACCTTGAACAATCGCTTCTTTACAAAATGGCGCAAAAAACGAATTTTTTTTTTTCCAATCTTCATCAACTTTTTTCTCAAAATCTATGGTCTTTAGAAAAACATTCATAAAAACAAAAATGCCTTAGAATCGCTCGAGGAACATTCTCAAATTTTTTCAGAATTTTTTGAGACAATTTTTGATTTTCCGGGAAACTTGGGAAATGGAATTTTCAAAAATGTCTCCAAAAATTCTGAAAAAATTTTAGAATGTTTCTCGAGTGATTCTAAGACATTTTTGTTCTTATGAATTTTTTTCTAAAGTCCATAGATTTTGAGAAAAAAATTGATAAAGTTGAAAAAATAAAAATTCGTTTCGGCCGCTATGTTCACTTTATCAATTTTTTTCTCAAAATCTATGGACTTTAGAAAAAAATTCATAAGAACAAAAATGTCTTAGAATCACTCGAGAAACATCCTAAAATTTTTTCAGAATTTTTGGAGACATTTTTGAAAATTCCATTTCCCAAGTTTCCCGGAAAATCAAAAATTGTCTCAAAAAATTCTGAAAAAATTTGAGAATGTTCCTCGAGCGATTCTAAGGCATTTTTGTTTTTATGAATGTTTTTCTAAAGACCATAGATTTTGAGAAAAAAGTTGATGAAGATTGGAAAAAAAAAAATTCGTTTTTTGCGCCATTTTGTAAAGAAGCGATTGTTCAAGGTAAACAAAAAAATTCCCTGTTAAACTTCAAATCCCATGATTACCTTTGATCACGGTCGCAAGGTGATATCTTCACCGTAACACTTCGAAAAAAAATCCTAAAAATTTTTTTTTCGAAAATTTAGGTGTTTTTTATGTTTCAATCGAGCATATCTCTTTTCCTGTGAGTTTTATCATGATTCTGGCAACGGATTCTGAAAGAGCATGCAATTTTACATCAGAATATGTGGTTCAAGAATTTTTTCAATGCCAATTACATAGGAAAAAATCACTTTGAAAACGTGCAAGAAATTTTGACATTTTGGACGTTAATGGGTTAATAGAGTTGGACTTTGTACAGTTTAATATTTTATAATATATTAATATGAGGTTTGTTCCAAAAGTATTCGACTTACCTCGATTCCTCGCCGCTTGATTTAATCTTCATCATCCGGGGGTGGCATTCTTCAAAGTAGTCTCCATATGAATAAATAAGATGCTCATATCGATGTTTCCACTTATTAAAGTGCTCTTGAAAGTCAGACTTCGGAATCGCCTTTATTGCATTCATAGCATTAGTTTTAACAGTCTCTTTATCGTCGAATCGATGTCCCTTAAGCGGCATTCTCAATCGAGGAATCAATCAATAGTCGTAGAAAGCTACATCGGAACAGTATGGAAGCTGGTGGAGCTGTGGAACACTGTGTGTCCCCTATTCAAAATGATAACGTCATATCATGACGTCTTTAAATTACGTCATTAAATGACGTAATTTATTTACGTCATACGACGTCAGGATTTGGAACAAAAAATAACGTTAAAAAATAACGTCAATTTTTGGAAATGACGTAGTTTTAAAAATTTTTGTAGTATGTTTCAAGATGAAAATTACGTCATTCGTCTCTGAGAATAACGTTATTTATAGCAATCACGTCATTCCAGGAAATATTTTTTGTACATAAATAGCGTCATTTTGTATAAAAAACGTCTTACAAAAATGATGTAATTCCCAGAATTGTTCCAGAGTTATTACGTCATTTTTGGCAAAATGACATGATTTTCCAGCAATCAAGTAAAAAAAAAGGAATGAGATAAACGTAACTTTATTTACATTTTATGACATATTTTACAAGCTTTGCTTCAGTATCATTAATATTTTTTTTTAAACGTGAAAAAACTTAAAAAATTGTTACTTAGCGTATTTACGTAGATTACGTGAACTTAAAAGATGATATTTTTTTGGAAAAAATAGATAACTTAAATAAATAAAAGTAAAAATATAACTTGAAATCTACCGATCATACTCCGCTTCCCATTCTGAACCTTCAGATTTCCCCCCTCCGACATTAGCTTGTTCTCTTACTTTACGATTTTACCTCGTTTAACTGATAATAACTCCCAATTCCCTGCCGAATTTATTTATACGGCTTGCCCTCTCCTTTTCTTCTTTTGTAGTTTTACATTCTTGCTTGATCATCTTCTGATGAAACAGAAATTGGCCATACCCTTCTGCAAATAAAGATGCATAATATTAATAGGAAATAATAAGTCAAAAATAGTATAGGAAGATGTATATACTTTTGAATGCCTCAAACTTTTTTGGAGTTATTGGAACTCTGCCATCTTTCTTGTTTGATCTGTCTACTTGCACAGCTTTGTTAATAAAGACATCTTCCGGCCATAAGTCCGGCCACAATTCTCGAATAAACTGATAAGTTATGCTCGAGTCCAATGTTTTCCCCCAATGTTTATATGGAACCAAAATACCAAAATGTAGATGGATCATCTTAGCCTAAAAATAAGTGATCGAATTAATCGATATAATAAAATGTACAACAAAATTTAAAATGTAAAAGAAACAAAGTTTTTACCTTTTTCATTTTTTGAGTTTCTGTATTTACTTTATTCAAAGTCCATGGTGACATTTTTTCCATTTTTACACCTTCTGTATCTGATTTAGCGTCAGAATCATATAAGCAAACTTTCGTCTTTCTTTTATATTTTGGTTTCTTCGTCTTCGATTGTCTCAAATCTGACGTGTCAGAATCAGTTTCAGAGCATTTACGTTTGCTATTTGCAAACGTATCTTTTCTAGGAGAACGAACGCCTTCCACTGATGAACTATTAGCGGGAGATCCATCTACAATATACCATTTTTGAAGTTAACAAGAATGTAACTAGTAATTTTTAAGATCTACCCACTCACCTTGGCTAAATATTGCGCACGGCTACATTATTCTTTTCCTAGAGAAAGTAGATGTTATGGGTGTATGCACTGTAGGAGATCGCAGTGAAGGATTATCAGGTGATTCAGCTATATTGTTTATACCTTAAATATGAAATTTTTTTTTTATTCCATATGTAAGTATAATTTATTTATTTTATAATACTCACGATGTAAGCGAACGGTGCATTGTCTTGTAGAAGTTTTACTCGCAGCATTTTGTGATTGCGCCTGTTCCAAAATTTTTATTTTTTCCAATAAGGACGCAATGTAATCATCTTTCGATTGTAGGTCTTCAGAAATTTTAACAGGATCCATCACTTCAATGATATGTGAACTAACATCAAAATTCAAATGTGACCTCATACCATCCACATTTTTCTAAGCATGCTTTTCCGGTTCTTCAGTCGACATTACATCAGGCGAAGTCTGAACAAACAAGAAGCAAACAAAAATTAATATAAATATATTTCATTGTAAACAATAGACATACATATACATATGTTTTTGTGTGGGTGTGGAATATATACCTTTTTCAACAACTTTTTCCCCTTTGGAGATTTGTTTTGCTCTACTTTCTTTGGCTTGACGTTTATCTGAGCTAACTCGTAGACAACTCGGCGTCGACGCTTGTTTGGTTTTGGCCAATGCCTCTTTCTTGTCTGCAATTCACTCAAGCTATCTAAAATAGAAAGTAAAAAATGCATATTACCTTTCATTATATTTGAACATTCTGTTAGATAAATAATGCATTGTTGGAGATCTTCAATTACACTGACAGAATTTCAGAAAAATAAGTTACATTCATTTTTTGATAGCAAATATTTTTTCCACATTCTTTTCAAATGAATCCAGATCTCTAACAATGTTATTTTTTTTGAAGTATATAAAAATAGAAACTTCTATGAAGTATGCTGTAACCACATTATAATGAATTTGACATCAACTCGTTATGTCTCTCTCTCTATATATGACCATATTATTAAGAATATCATATATTTAGAATATTATATTATTTGAACTATATTTCTTCTTAGCAGCAGCAGACGACGACTGCAGAGAAGGTAAGAGAGAGCGCCGGCAGAGAGAGACCGCGTGCGCGACCGATGCGAAAACAGCCCGACACTATAACGAACGGCATGTAAGTTCTTTATGTCTCTCTCTCTCCAGGAAGCCATCAAATAATAATTATCTATAATAATTAATTATCATGTAAACATGTTTAAATAATTGCAGTGTGGACGTCAGCGAACCGGTAAGTGACGCGATTATAGTTCGATTATCGATATCGACTCGCGGCGCGAACCTCGCGGAGAGGCGAGCCCTTCGAGGAGAGAGAGAGAGAGAGTAGGGACAAAAATAGTAAGTCTGCTTCCGACCGGCAACGAACAAGCAACCGGCAACGCGAGCTCGCTAATTACTCGAGAGAGCAATTAGGTTTAATAGCCACACACGTGACAACCATCGACGCTGCTCCTGAAGAGTCTTGTGAACACTCGGGGATAGCGGCAGAGAGAAGAAGCGTGAACGCAAGAAGCGGTAACGCGACTAACCTTTCCTTTGTAAGCGAGCGCGCCGAGAGTTACTCACGAATTAACTATAGAGCGACTCGTCTGTTCCAGCACTGTAAGTACCAGTTTGTTAACTTGGCTTCTCTCTCTATGGCTCTCTCCTCCTGCGTTGCTTAAATTGCGTATCCTTGTTGATACCTTACCGCATAGTTGCTTATTTCTTTTCTGTTTTCGTTCGGCCTACGAACCGGCTTCCGTTATACGCGTATTGTCGCTCCGTCCAATTTACAACGAGCAAGTGCGGTTGCCGTTTTCATCTAAGTCGAGTGACCGAGACATTTCGACCGGCTAAAGAACCGACACGAGTAAGCGGTGTCGCTTTCTCGTTCGAATGGTGCGCGCCGGCTAGCCGTCGCCATTGTGCCTAACCGCTCTTACAGGGCGTGCGCGTGCAAGTCCTCGCTGCGTAGCGTGTGCGCAGCTCGTCGGCTGCACTGAAATCTGACGCGAGGCTATCCACGCTGCTATTTGTACTGCGCGCGAACTACGCTATTCTATGCTCGTGTTATGAATAAATGAATTCAATTCACTCCTTTGCTATGTGTCATTTTCCCTCGATTCCTAGTCGTGTATGCGATTATGCACTTTAGCTTCTCCTTGGCTGTCGCGCCTTGTCATACGAAAGCTTACGACACTCTCCGCGGGCCAAGTTTTCGACTCGAGAAGGAGGCAACTGAGCTGCTGGACCCAGGACGTTCGGTGCAGGAGTGCCGATCTGCTCTGGAGAGCCATTCATCTACTTTTCCGCGGTTACTTTTATATAGCGTGTCCCGCTCGAGCGAAGCTGAGCAGGAACCCCGTTATAACACAAATAAAATTTTATAAAAAAAAATAATCACATCTCACGTATGTCTAATTGTACTTCTCGAAAAAATAATTATTTGTTATTGTACCATTATATTTCTCATAAAAAATAAAAAATATCGTTATCGATAATTCACCTCCTATTTATTCACATAAAAGACATAATTAAGCAAAAATAAATTCACAGAAAAATTGTACCTTCCGTAGTCTAAATTGTACCATCAGTACAATTCTATAAATTTGTTTCTAAAAGAAATAATAGGACAATTACAAAGCTCTACGCCTGCGCAAAGTGCATTTTCGGATGACATCCTTGTAAGTTGTAACAATTAGTGGTAATTTGTAATCGTCCTATTATTTCTTTTAGAAACAAATTTATAGAATTGTACTGATAGTACAATTTAGACTACAGAAGGTACAATTTTTCTGTGAATTTATTTTTGCTTAATTATGTCTTATGTGAATAAATAGGAGGTGAATTATCGATAACGATATTTTTTATTTTTTATGAGAAATATAGTGGTACAATAACAAATAATTATTTTTTCGAGAAGTACAATTAGACATACGTGAGATGTGATCATTTTTTTTTAATAAATGTTATTTGTGTCGGGCTGTTTTCGCATCGGTGTGTGCGCGTGTAGGCTTAGCGACTGGTATGACGAACCACGCGCCACGCGCCGCGTGACGGAGGGACGGAAGGGTCAGCAATTAGCCGATAGCTCGCGAGCCGTACAGAGGTATTCGTTCGTGCGTACGCTTGTATTAGCATTTTTGTTTGAAAAACGCCTCGTGGCAACAGAGAGACTTTCGACTATGATAAGTGAGAGAAGTGCAACTGTGCGTGCGATACTTTTCCTCCCTCGCGACAAGCGACTGCACTGTTAGGCGAATTCCGCAATCGTGCCAAGGTATAATTGAAGGACTTCGATTAATGTAAGTATCAACTGTTTCTTAGATCTCTCTCTTGCTTTACCTATCTCGCCGCTCTCTCCAAACCACCCTGTACACTAACACGTACATAAACTTTATATATTCGTACACTATGAAAATTGTATGGCTTTTCTTTTGTACTACCTTTCCTTCCTATCACTTCCCTTAACTTCCGCGATTTAAGCTGCGTGACCCACGACGCTCTCCGCGGGCCAGTTGGCGATCTGACCTACTGGGCCGGTCTTGCGTAGCAGAAAACGCAGTGCCGCGAAGAGCTGCATTTGTGCCAGCCACTACTCAATCTCGGTTAATTAATATATTGTAGCGGTCTAAACCCCCGTTACAACATGTAATAGAATGAAATAGTCACAACAGATCATAGTTTTCAAATAACAAGTTTTATTCAATTCGCTGTAAAACACATGCTTTTATTTTTTTTTTGCTTGCGTTGAATGAATTTATTTAGTTTTGTAGTGTAGAATGGCCTCATATTTTTTACATCCATGCGAAACATAGAATTTCACATTACCTAAAAATTGTTCGATGAAATGACTTATACTACCCTAGCTTATGTTCCTACTGATGTTTTGGAGAAAAAAAAATTAGGACATTCCACACTCAAAACAGAATAATTCCGTCCATCTGTTACGAATATAGTGGCAAAACATAATAAGAAAAAAAAATTAAAGAAGTTTTTAGTAAATCATATGTAACAGTTGTGTATAAATTCTTACCTGACAAATCTAAGACAGCGACCACTTCATAGGTAATTTCACTATCATCGTTAAGACCAGTCTCAATGTATGCATCATACATTGGTTTAACTTTGGCATCAAAATCTTTGATTTTCGACACAGGAATGAACTGCACATTTTGTTTTCCAACGTACAGTCGAATAGCAGCATGTGTAACAATACTTTTTTTTCTCCCATCATGAGTCTCTCCGTCCATCTGAGTGTCACTGTCATCAGAATTCATGTTGATGTATAATCTGTTGATAAAAAATACAATGAGTTGTTTTGTAAGGATATGTTGAGTATAATAAATCAATGTAGACTTCGAAATCACAAGCATGTATAAAATAGATAACAAAAGTTGGAAACAAGTTGGAAACAAAATTTATTACAAACCTGCTATAGCGGATGTACGCATTCAGTGCAGTAGCGTTTTTTAATTGTCAAACTTGAGGTATAATGTAAAAATCCACAAGCACCAATACCGATAACGACAGAGAGCAATAATAAAGAACAAAGGCCGGCAGGCGCGTGAATGCGGTATAAGTGATTTCTCTCTGGCAGTGATGAGCCGATAGAAGGGACGTACTTCAGGTCTTACAATTTTCAAACTCACAGAACATAAGGTTTGTTCGCTGCATCCTGTATATAATAAAATCTTTTTTTATAAAACTAGTTTTCAATCGAACAATTATACAAATGATAGTTATCATTTACCGTATAATTATTCGATTATAAATGACTTTATTAAAAAAATATCTTATTAGGCTTTCGCTGTTGTGTTTAGTTTCTCTTAAATAAATGAAATTTGAAACGTCATAGTTTTCTTGTGAATGTATGCAGATGATATCTTTATTTCATAAACTACTGGTTACAATTAACATGAGGGTCAAAATGCTTCGCAAGTATAATTTATAATCAATCAAATATTGAGTGTACTTTCGCGCGCAGCAGACAATAATTTTTGTCTGTAGCCAATGTTTGATCCTTAATAAATT